ACAAGCAGCCAGAAAGAAACAATTCAAATATTGTGGAAACACAATCAGGATAACACAAGACATAAATGAATTCCCCAAGGGGAAAACAAAAAACAGGACTAGATGGATTTACCAGTGAATTCCATCAAACATTTAAAGAACAGTTAATTCCAATACTACACAAACTGTTTGAAAAAATAGGGAAAGAAGAGGTCCTGCCAAATTCCTTTTATGACACAGATATAATCTTGAGATCTAAATTAGGGAAAGTCAAAATAGAGAAACTAGAGGCCATTATCTCTAATGAATATTGAAGCAAAATATTTAAATAAAACATTAGCAAGGTGACCAAAGCAACATATGACAAAGAATTGATTCCAGAAAGGCACAGCTAGTTTAACATTGGGAAACCTACAAACATAATTGATAATTAATTACAAATAACATTAATAACAAAAACAACAAAAATCATGATTATATCAATAGGCACAGAAAAGGCTTTTAACAAGTTATAATATCCATTCCTGTAAAAAAAAAAAAAAGCACTTTGGGGCAGGTAGGTGGTGCAGTAGATAGAGTACTGATCCTGAAGTCAGGAGGACCTGAGTTCAAATCCGGCCTCAAACCAAACACTTGACCCTTACTAGCTGTGTGGCCCTGGGCAAGTCACTTAACCCCAATTGCCTAAAAAAAAAAGAAAGAAAAAAAGAAAGAAAGAAAGAAAGAAAGGAAAGCACTAGAAATCAATAGGAAATAATTAACAACTTCAGCAAAGTTGCAGAATATAAAATAAATTCACACAAATCATCAGCATTTCTCTTATAAATAAAATCCAGCAGGAAGTGATAGAAAGGGAAATTCTCTTCAAAATAACTACAAACACAATAAAATATTTGGGAAGCTACCTGCCAAGACACACATAGAAACTATGTGAACATAATTACAAAATTCTCTTTACATAAATAAAGGCACATCTACTTAATTAGAGAAATAGTAAATGCTCATGGGTAGGTCATGCCAATATAATAAAAATGACAATACTCCCAAAATTGATTTACTTATTTAGTGCCAAATCAAGCAAACTACCAAAGAATACAGGGCTTGAAAAAATTCATCAGCTAAGTAAAATTCATCTAGATGAGCAAAAGGTCAAGAATATCAAAGAAATTATTGGAAAAAGTGGGAAGAGGGTCTAACCATAGCAGATCTCAAAATATATCATGAAATCATCAAAAAACTTTGGTACAGGGTAAAAAATAAAGATGTTGATCAGTAAAACAGATCAGGTACAAAATATACAGAAGCAAATGAACACAGTTGCTTAGTATTTAACAAACTCAAAGATCCCAGTTAATGGAGCGAGAACTCACTACTCTACGAAAACTCCTGGGAAAATTGGGAAGTAGTCTAACAGAAATATATAGACCAACATCTCACACCATTTAGCAAGACAAATTCCAAATGAGGCTCATGATTTAGATATAAAGGGTGACATCATAAGCAAATTAGAAGAGCGTGGAAGAAATTACTTGTCATATTTATGGATATAGGAAGACTTTATGACCAAATATAAAATAGAAAGGTTCACAGTAGATTAAAATGGACAATTTTGACTACATAAAATTAAAAAGGTTTTGCACAAACAAAACTAGTGCAAGCTAAAATTAGAAGAGAAGCAGAAAATTGGGGACAGGGGGTGCGAACCTTTGCAGCAAGTTTCTCTGTTAACATTCTCCTTTCCAAGATATATCATGAGCTGATCCAAATTTACAAGAGTAAGAGCCATTCCCTAATTGATAAATGGTCAGAAGATATGAATAGGTACTTTTTAGAAGAAGAAATATCAATAGCCATATTGAAAAATGCTTCAAATCACTGATAATTTGACAAATGCAAATTAAAACAACTCTCAGGTACTACTTCACATCTGTGAGACTGGAAAAGTTGACCAAAAAAAAAAAAAAGGAAAAAACATACTGGATGGCTCTGGGGAAATATACATTAATGCACTGTTGCTGGAACTGTGAACTGGTCCAGCCATTCTGGAAAGCAATTTGGAATTATGCCCCTAAAGCTCTTAAACTGTGCATACCTTTTGACTCACCTACATTGCTATTGGATCTATACCTCAAAGAGATCAAAAAAAGAGGAAAAGGACTAATGTGTAAAAAAAAAAATTGTTGCTACTCTTTTCATATATGGCAAAGAATTAGAAACTGAGGGGATGTCTGTTAACTGAGAAATGGTTGAACAAGTATGGCATAGAAATGTGATGCAATATTATTGTGAATTAAGAAATGATGAAGGGATAGTTTCAGAGAAACCTAGAAAGACTTGAATGGAAAGATGCAGGGAAAAGTGAGTAGAACCTTGGAGAACAACTTATACATGACTATATTGTGATGACAGCATTGAAACAACCAACTTTGAAAGGCTTAGGAAAATCTTATCAACAATATGCTCTCCACCTTGAGACAGAGCAGTGATGGACTCCCAAGAATATTGAAGCAAATTGAGGAGACGGCCAGCATGGCTAATGCAGGAATTTGTTTTCCTTGATTACATATTTTTAATGGGTTTGTTTTTTGTGCTTTCTCAATAGGTGAGAGAGGGAAGGAATGCAGAATTAAAAATAAAATTAGATTGTATTTTTAAAAAGTTAACTGTTCTGTTGTTGTTATGAACTCAAAAAATCTCCCTTTGGAGCAATGGAAACTGTCCCAGGGAGCTTAATTTTATTCTTCTCTAGCTTGCTGTGAAAAATACACATTCTACTTGGGGATGGGAGAGGCAAAAGAGAATCAGTGGAATGATCTTATTTAAATTCTAAGCAAAAAAAAAGGAAGAAAGGAAATGAAATTAAAATTTTTAAAAGCTATCAGCAAAAAAATAAAAATAAAAATAAAAAAATGTTAAAGGAAAATAGTGACACAAAATTTTAAGTGATTTTGCAAGCAATTCTCCAAAGTCCCTTTGCCACAGCTGGATCAAAGGAACCCTGAACAAGAGGGTCAGTCTCTGAGTAATTGCTGAGATCCCTCTAGCTGCTATCTGCTTGCCAGTTTCCCCAGTGGGCTGGAACAGTATCACAAAAGGGGTTGAGACCTACCCGGAGGCATGGAGTATATTCTTTGGAAGCCAACTTTGCTTACAAGGTCACAGAAGTGCTGTGGAACCTCTTGGTATAGCATACGGCGTGTGTTCCCATGTGCTTTTTTACTCTGAATCATCTTCTTGTTTTCAAAGGCAGCAGAAAGGATGACATTATGGACCATCTCAACCTGTTAGCCAAAGAAATGAGACAAACTGATTAAAGGGGTGGGTGGAGAGAAGGGCGGCAGGTTTTTCCCTGACTCCCTTAAAAAGAAAAGGCTAACAGGCATGGGTTTTTTTTTCACACCAGTTGCATTTAATATCAAATTAATGTCAGATTGATCCCTTGGTCACTAGTAATTCCCTAACCCAGCTTCCAATAGGATTCAAACTCCTTGAGGACAGCAACTGTCATTTTCTCTCTATTTCCTAAGCACTTAGTACAGTGCCTGGCACATAGTAGGTTTTTTAATAAATGCTTGTTGAATTAAATTATGGAATTCTTTTACCCCAAAGCCTCTAAGCCCCTCTCCTACTCTCACCATCAACCTCTAGCTCATTTCTATTCATTGGAATGGACAAAAAGAATAGTTCAGATGACTTTTTCTTGTTTCTAATCTTTGCCCTTTAAGCCACCAACTTGCATTCTCCCTATTCTACTCCATTCTCCACCCCAACACACACACACACACACACACACACACACACACACACACACACACACGTGCGCACACAGCTTAACTCACTAGTCCTACTAAGTGAATAATTGTACCATAGGCATCAGGAGCTAAGGTTTTCATTTAACCAAATCACCAAGGCTTTAGTAAAAAGTAAGTGATTTAAATTGAATGACTATGATTAGTGAGACCTTGCTCTATATCATCTTCACTTAAGTTATGGTTATTACCTTCTGTGCTTCCAAACCCACTTTTTCAAACTCTATCTTCTTTTCCCAGAGTTTCTTTTCCTTCCAAAAGTCCAGCTCAAACAAATTTCTATCTTGTGGCAGGATAGCGAACTGGCATTCTAGACAGAAGAAAAACAATCTCTGAAATATTGACTGTAGTCTATGAAAAGATTAACAACTCAAAATCCAGATCATACCAGGTAACACTAACCACGGCCCAAATTGCATCCTTCCCTTTATTTACAGTAGGTAGGGAGTGCCATGGTGTCTTGAAAGGCAGTGTGGGGTATTGGGAAGAGCATGCAGTCGAAGAGAGAAGGGAAAGGACCAAAATATTCAAAGCAGCTCTTTTTGTTGGTAGCAAAAATCAGGAAACAAAGAAGATACCCATCAATAAGGGAATAGCTACACAAATTATGAATATGATGCAGCCTTTGGGGTTGCAGAGTGCAATTGAAATGGATGCCTGGGGGGAAAACAGTGCTAATATGAAAGGGCTGTACCAGTTGAGATGTTGATCATAAGAAATTACTTTTACAGTGTGATTTTTTTGCAGCCCACTAGGGCTGTCAGCAACAAAGGGCAGAGCTACTATTTGCATCTGCTATTTACACCTATGTAACATCTGAGCGATAGTGCACATAGTGAATAGGGAACTAGCCTCAAAGACAGGAAGACCTGGGTTCAAGTCCTGCTTCTGATAGGTATTGGCTGTATGACTTTAGAAAAGTCCTTAACCTCTCAGTTGCCTCAAGCCACTCTCCATGACTATAAGTTGCAGAGAATGTGCCAACCTGCATGGGTAGAAAGGGTTTCCGCACCTGAAAGTTCCCTCCACCAATAAAATCCCAGAACAAATTCCTTTCCCTTTCCTGATTTAGCAGCTGAGGAGGTACTCTATGGTATTATCACTTAATCAACTGAATATAGATTAATTAGGAAAAATCAGAGGATAATCACCAAATGAAAATGAGTTCTAGGTCTTTCTAACTATTTGCTTCTAGAACACTTAGCACAAGGGGGAAGATGATAAAACCTTGAAACCCGAGTGTCATGCTCTAGTAGTGGAGATGCTTATAAGCATCAAGCAAACTAGGAAATTTCAATGGTAACTAGAAGTTTAGCTAGGAGAATGCTGGTTTGTATTTAGAGATTAAAAAGGATAGGGACTGGACCTGTTCATTGATATAGTGAACTCCCAGGTGAGAATACTCCCTGAACTAATGCAGGTCAGCACCTTCTCTGCAGTTTAGAATCTTGTCTAGAGCACTGATAGCTTAAACAACTTACTCAGAGTCACAAGTGAAATCAATGTGGGTCATAAGTAGGAGCTGCTCTCTGATTGGTCCTGAGGCTAGCTCTCTTAACCAACATGCCACATGACCTCTATAAAAGCTACACATTGGAATAAAATGAATCAGAGAGATTCAGTGTGGTCTAGTATATGGAGGGCTGGCCTTGGAGTCAGGAATACTTGGGTGCATGACCTGGATTGATACTTATTGTGTGACCAGTGACATACCACTCAATCTCTCAATGCCCCTCAGCAACTCTCTAAGACCATAAGTTATAAACTTTCTGCCCATCTTATTCTGCCTCTTATTCTGATGAAATCTCAGACTAAAAACAAAAGAAACAAAAAAACCAAAAATTGATGAAGTAGTACTGAAGAGAGTGATGTCCAACTTCTCTGCCTCCACCCCATTAGAACATAAGCTATTTGAAGGCAAGGAATTTGACAGGATTTTTTTCTTTCCTATAATTAATAATAATAGCAACAAAAATAATTTTAGGTTTTGCGTAGTGTTTTAAAGTTTTCCAAATATTTTATAAATATTATCTCATTTTACCCTCACAACAACCCTGTGAAGTAGGTGTTAATACTATCCCCATTTTACAGATGAGGAAACTGAATCTGAGAGAGGTAAGTGACTTGCCCACAATCATACTGCTAGAAAGTGTCTAAGGTAGGATTTGAACTCAGTTCTTTTTGATGCTGAGTCCAACATGCTATTCACTGTACAACTTAACTGCCACTGACTTTCTTTTTATCTTTTTCTTAAAATTTCTACTAAGCAGCACAGTCTCCTCCTGCACAACTTAGTGAATGTTTATTGAATAAAGGAATGAATAAATCAATTGAATGATTGCATTGAGATTTACTCTTTCTTTCATTACTACTCTGCCTTTGATTTCACAATCCTTGATTGAACATTTCCTATATAGTGTACATGGAATACAAAGGAGCAACTATAGCGTAGAGTAATATGCCCTAGATCTGGGTATGAAGCAAGCTCTGCTATTTACTAGCTGTAAAACCTAAATTTCGCTTTTCCCATTTCTAAAATGAGAATTATAATGCTTAGGCTTACCTACCTCACAAGGCTCTTCTGAGACAAGTGCTTTAAAAACTGCAAAACAGAGAGGATTCTGGGAAGATGGTGCAGTAGGTCAGAAAATTCCAAGCTCTCCAGATTACAAAAAAAATAATAAAATTGCACCTCAAGGAGAATGTAGAGTGGTAAAAATAAACAAGAGTTGGGGCAGAACAGTGATTCTCCAGGACAACAGGAGAAGATTTGAAGAAATATCTCAGGACCAATGTTTGGTTCCTATAAACACTTCCAGGCTAGTTCCACTGAAACAGCAATCAGCAAGCCCTGGGGCTACCTGGGCTGGGAGGTAGCCTCAGCCCCAGCCATAGGAATTTTCACCTCCCTGACAGTGGGAGGAGCTGGGGGGTGTGAACAGGAGAAGATTGAGGGAACCTCTGCTTATAAGGGATGCTAGGCTCAGCTGTGCTGCTAAGAAGTGGTCCTGGGAGAGAAGGAACCAAGACATGCAGAGAGTGAAGAAGCAGTGGGTGAGTATGCAGCTGGCTGTGGGCACTTACAGGAGAGTGGAGTTCTTCATTTCAGTTCCAAGCCAGAGGAGACAACTGAAGGAGGACTTGAGACCAGAAGCACCATCCCCCATATGCCAGGAGTAGAGGTGATTACAATAACAACTGCTATAATTTTTTTAAAAAATGAGCAGGCAAAGGAGAAAGAATCCAACTATAAAAAGTTACTATGAGAATAAAGAAGATGAGTTCATCTTCAGAGGAGGATACTGAAGGAAAAAAAGCCTCTCCTAACCAAAAGAGTAATGTCCATTGGTCACTGCCCAAAAAGAATTCATAGAAGAACTTTTAAAAAAGACTTTAAAAATCAAATGAGAGAGATTGAGGACAATTTTTTTAAAAATAGAAACAATCCAAGAAAAACAACAAGATTTTAAAAAGAAAGTTAGCCAACTGGAAAAGGAGATCCAGAGTCTTAAGGAAGAAAACAACTCCTTGAAAACTGGAATTAAGCAAAAGGAAGCCAGCAAAGTTATAAGAGACCAAGAAATAAGAAAACAAAATATAAAGAATGAAAAAAGAAGATTATGTGAAACATCTTATGAGAAAACAACTGATCTGGAGAACAGATCAAGAAGAGAAAACATAAAAATAATTGGACTACCTGAAAGCTATGATCAAAAAAAATCTTGATATGATAATATAAGAAATAATTTAAGTTCTCCTGAAGCATTAGAACAAGCTGGGGAAGGGAAGTAACCAGAGAAAGGTATAGATCAGTGGTGGGCTGCATAATCAGTGACCTGGTGGGAAAGGGGACCCACCAAGGGTCTGGCCCCTGTAATAGTTGACATTATTCTGGAAATGAGGCACAGTGGGAAAGGGGAATCCATGAGACAAACCCTACAAGGCAGAAACTGCATAGAGGGGAAAGCTTGGAATGGAGACATTAGAAGCCTTATTGCCTGAGGAATAAAGAGAAAAGAGAGAGACTAGATATAGGAGTCATGAGTCAAAGAATGATAATCTAAAGTAGATGGAAAGAGAGGACAGATAATGAAGAGAGGGAGAGGAGTCCTTTTTGGAAAAGAGTACAACAATGAAAAATTTTAAAACTAATAAATACAAATAGTTGAAGGGGAGGAAAAGAAGAGAGAATGTAATTGACTGAAAGGGGGAAAATTACATAAGCAGATAAAAGCAAGAGAAAAAAAAGAAGTAATAAGCAAAACCCTAAGGCAAAGGGATGGGGGAAGGAAAAGAGTTTGTGAAAGTAGAGTCAAGGAGAAAAAAAAAGATTAAGCTAAAGGAACTGAAGAAACATAGTATCGTGTTTACAGCAGAAAGAAAAAAATAACTTGGAAAAATATTAGAGAGAGAGGAAATTATAAACCTAATTCTCATAATTTTAGATGTGAAGGGGTTAAACAATCCAAGCCTACAGTTATAATCAGCCAAAGTTTAAGAAGAAACCAGAGGGGTCTGATTGCAGGCTCCCTAAGGATAAGATCAGATGGGGGCTGATCCCCAGCCATCACTGCCCAGGATTCTGGGTCTGTCTGCCCTGGTCCAAGTCCCCTCAATCTTTATTCATGGATTGTTGATACACCATCTTTTTTCTAACATCCTAGTTGTGGAAAGATTATTTTTTGAGCAGTTTGGACAGTATGTTGAGTATTTGCTATTGTGCATCAAAGAGAATTGTGATGATTTTCAGTGTACAGACTAGAAATCAGAGTAGGGACACTCCCCCTCTGGTAAGTAATTGGGTAATTAAGCAAACTGAGTAAAATAACTGAAAGTCTTGTATGGTGATTGAAGTAAATATAAGCAATGTGACTGACTAAACCATTGAGTATCTTATCTTTCCTTGAAAAGTATAATCTTACTTTTGGTCAAGTTTTTTCACATAATGCCTTGAGAACTCATCCTTAACAAATCAATCAAAGGACTTTAGATAATTTTGATCAAGATAGGCTTGTACTATGGGTCTCCTGTGTCTTGTTATTAATAAGACATGACCCCTTCACTCAAAAAGGCATATTTTTAAATATTCAAATGTTTTAAATTACATGTTATCAATTAAAGCCCAATCTGGTTGAGAATATGGTTATAGATCTTGAACCTTTTAACTGTCCATCACTTCCATGCCTTTAAAGACATCAATAATGTTTTCCCCAGATGTTTATTTCTTCTACCTTATGCAGGCCCAATGTTGTATTACAATCACAATCTGTAATCTAGTAGACCTAGATTAAACAACACACGTATTATTACTTTCTGCTATTAACATTGACTTTGAAGAAAGAAATATACAATTTATTGGAATGTTTGAGTGGAATGTTTTCATATATACCTACATTCTTATAAGACTTCAGGTGATGCTCAGTCTACAAAAGCCATAATTCAGTCAATCACCTTCATTGACTAACAAAGTTAGGTTAAAATCATTCTTCATAGCCATCAAGAAGAAGTGACCAAGATTCTAAATAAAGATTCTAAAAGGGGATTTTCATACTTTACAAAGTAGGGGCTCGTAGCCTGAGATCAATGCATGTTAAAAAAATTATAATAACTGGTTCAATGTAATCGGTTTCTTTTATAATCCTAGGTATTTTATTTTATGTATTTAATAAACATTATTCTAAGAAAAAGTTCAGAGGCTTCACCAGTCTGCTAAAGGGGCCCATGGCACAAAAGGGTCAAGAACTCATGTTATATCTCTAAGTGGAGATCTTCAAGAGAAAGAAGGGCTGGTCATGCCTGGTGGCCATAGCCAGGTTGTAAGAGGATATCCAATAAGAGGAACAACCAATGGACAGCCAAAATGCTTGCTTAATGAGATATTAATGGAATGGAAGGAAAACCTTCAGCACACTGAGTTTCTTCCTGTCCCTGACCCCAACCCATACTATGGTGGACCTATGGAAGACTATGGACAAAAGCTGTACAGTGGGTGGTAGGCATGAATACATTGCTATCTGCTTGCAGGAAAAATACCTCTGGAGTATCTTTAAGGCCAGGACAAAGGCCTTATCCTGTAACCCTGCTAAGATGAGAAGACTACTCTTAGTCATAAGTTTTATATATTTATCAACTTATTGAAGGTCATTTTTGTTGTGGAGTCCTTTCAGTTGTGTCCAACTCTTTGTGGCCCTATTTGGGATTTTCTTGGTTAAGGTACTGAAGTGGTCAGTCATTTCCTTCTCTAGTTCATTATATAGATGAGGAAACTGAGGCAAATGGGATTAAATTACTTGCCTGAGATCACACAACTAGGAAGTGTTTGAGGCTGGATTTGAACACAGGAAGATAAGTCTTCCTGACTCCAGGCCTAGCACTCTATCCATTGTGCCACCTAGTACAGGGATGTGCCAAATTAACCTGCTCCTTTCCTTGGTCCCAGGCCTTTAATTACCTTTTGGACAATTCCATGTTATAATAAACAAATCCAGTTCTGTGATATTACTTTAATTTTTGAAGGAGTATTTCATACTATCTTAGGAACTGTCATAGAAAGAAGAATGGTCTCCTATATAAGGCAGGGATTTGGTATTGCTAGCATTCAGGTCCTGGCTGAAGCAAGTAGCTTTCTTTAAGCACTGACCTAATAGCCACTCACAAACCATTGATGAGAGGTAGTGGACATTAACTTGCAGTGCTGAAATTGGAGTCATGAGACCTGAGTTCAAGTTGCAGTTCTGTCACTTAACTACCTGTATGGCCTTAGGAAAGTCACTTGCCTCTCTGGGCTTTAGTTCCGTATATGTAAATTGAGAGTATTGGACTAGATGACCCCTTATGACCCTTGCAGATCTAGAACAGTGATCCTGTGAATGTTACAAGGCTCAAATTGAGAATTAGAAAGCACAAAGCCTAGACTATGGGAGTTGATAAATAAGAGACTTGCTTCCATTTCCAGGATCTAGGTTCCTGTGTATCTAGACAAAATGATCTAGGGCAGAGGAGTCAGACTTGTTGCCATACACTCACAAAACTCCAAGTGCAATCCGAACCAGATTAAATTGTAATTGGGAAATGTTTAATAAAACAAATAAAAATATAATAAAACACGGAAAATTATAATTTGCGGTTTTCTAAATTAACATTCGGCCCAGAGAGGTCTGTTTCTATTTGAGTTTGTTATCACTAATCTAGAGGAGAGTACATTAGATTTGAAAGTAGGAAGCCTTGGTTTGGATCCCAGACTAATAATAATAATAATAACAGTAACAACAATGATAATAGCTACTATTTACACAGGACTCTGTGGTTAGCAAAGCACTTAACTTTTTAAATCTCATTCATTCCTCACAACAACCCTCTGAGGGAGGTGCTACTAACACCATTTTACAGATGAAGAAACTGATGCTGAGCTAGATTAAATGACTTACCAAGAATCCCACACAAAGGGTTTGTCTGAGGCACGTTTCTAAGTCAGGGACTCCCTGATTCCAAATCTGAAACTCTATCCACTGTACTACCTAGCTGCCTGTGTGTGACTCTGGACAAACTACTGGTTGTGTCAGGTTCTTCATCTGTAAAATGGAAGCAATAGCTCATGGTATTGTGTGGGGATCAAATGAGATAATGTATGTATGCAAATCTTAAAACTCTATGTAGACTTCTAATATTATTATAAGTGAAAAGGCAGAGAGGGTCACTGTACCTCTTAGAGATGATTCAATAGCACAGAACAAAAAACTGAAATTTACATTCTAATTTTAAATTTTAGCATCTTAAGGCCATGGACAGAATGATCTACTTTAAGAAAGAAAGGAAAAGAAGAATAAAAAAAATTTTTTAACAGTCCTCTGATCAACACATGAACGCTAAAAGAAGTACTACAAAAGAGTCTTATGGCTTCTCTCACTGGTTTTGAATGACAAGGCACTTACCTGCTAGCCTACAATAGTGTTTCTCTGTATAGGCTCTCTGTACAACCCACAGCAGATTTTCAATATGCAGCATCACAGGAATGATGCTGTTCGGTTTTCCTCTAATCTCCAGTGTTGCCTTCCCAGAGCTGATCTCCTCTGAGATGGAAACCTCAAACTTGTTCTTTAGGTAAGACAAACGGTCGTGCTCCTCTTTACCAAGGTAGAAGATATGATTGTCTTCAATAAAACAGCACTCCTGGGCCCGCAACAACTTGACAATCCACTTTTTAGCAGCAACCAGTTGTTCCTCATTGTTCCCTATGAGGTGGATCAAAGGTTGTTGGGCTTCTTCGAGCTCAGCTTCTTCTTGCCCTTCTCTGAACCACGGTGGAACTGAAAAGACCACAATGAACAGAAATACCAAGGCCAAATGGGCTTTAAAAAAATGGAGTCACATCCTGTACACCCCACCAAAGACATCTTTTCTCCTCTTCTCCTTTCCTCTTGTCTCAAAGGAAAAGACAATACTTATCTCTTCTAAAGCTGCCCACCTCCCTCCATGTCCACGATCTCATTCCATCTGTTCTCTTCCATAACCTTGCTCTCCCACTCATGTATCTTCATTCTCTTTTTTCTGGGTCTTTCACATTAGCCTATAAACATAATAAGATTTCCCCATCCTAAGAAACCTTGACCCCACTGGGCCCTCAAATAATTCTCTTTCTTCCCCCTTCATTGTCTAATTTACTAGAAAGAAGAGTTTATACTTTCTGCTCCAACTTTCTCACCATCCACTTATCAGCTCCCTTATCTGACTTCTGCTGCCACCATTTTACTAAAATGGCTGTCTCCAAAGTCACTACAGACCTCTGCATGACAAAATCCAGTGATCTTTTGTTTGTCTTCATCCCTTAACTCCTTTGACTCTGCAATTTGTTTTCCTACCGGCCTGCATACTCGGACTTTGTTGACTCTTCATCCTGTTCCTTAGAATGTGTGTGTGAGTGTGTGTACTCCAAAGTTCTGTTCCAAATGCACTGTGTGTGTGTCTCTCCCCATTCCACTGTCCCTCTCTCAATCTCTGCCTCTGTCTCTTTCCTCTCTCCCTCCCCTGTCTCTATCTCTCTTCTCTCTCTCTCTGCCTGTCTTTCTCTTCCTCCCCCTCTATCTCTACCTCTCTCTTTTCTCTCTCTCCTTCATCCCTCGCTCCTCCCTCATCTATCTCTGCCTCTATCTCTCTGTCTCTGTCTCTCTCTCATGTTTTACTTTGGTGATCTCCACCATTTCTATGACTTTTATTATTATCTTTGCTGCAGGAGTGTCAACTAGCCTCATGCAAGCTAATCTAGTGTTTTGTTTTGTTTATCTTTCCTGAAAAGGTAATAAAAACATCCTAAGGACTTGGCTGATCCAGGAGACCCAGGATGAAGTCTCTGACATAGCCTTGTCACCTAAGTATAGAAACGGTACACAATGAATGTGGCGCTCCAAAAGCTTTACACATGATTCTGACCAGTCCCCACCATGGCAAACACAGAGCCAGGGAAGCTATGCCTACATGAATCAATGACATGTCCTTACTAATCATTTTTTTGTGTTGCTTGTAAGTAAACTTCCTTCTGTTAAATGTTAAACAAATTGAACCACTAGAGCAGCAACAGTCAGGGCCTGGCTCAGAATAATCTCTCTCTGTAAATGACTCTCAAATCTATAACTGCCCCACATCCTCAAGGGCTCCAGTCTTATATTTCTAAAAGTCCCTTGTATCCCCATTTGACAAAGAAGTAAGCTGAGGTTCAGACTGGAGGCATGATGATCACTTAGAAAGTTATGAAGCAATAAAGGCTGGAACTGGTTCATCTGAAGTCCTGATGGTATCTCAGATTTAACATCTAAAGCTCTATTTATCTTCGTATCTTCTAGGCTGGGCCTAGAATCACAAAGACTTCAGTTCAAATCTGACCTCAGACACTAACTATAGTATGACTTAGGCAAGTCACTTAACTTCTCTTAGTCTCAGTTTCTTCAAATGTAAAATGGGGATAACAGTAGCAGTTAGCTCCCAGAGGTGTTGTGAAGATCAAGTGAGATAATGATTGTTAAGCATTTAGCACAGTGCCTGACACACAAAAGATGCTTAATAAATACATATTCTCTTCCTCTCCCTCAAACCTAAGCTTCCCTAACTCCTCTATTTCTATTAATGCACCACCATCATCCTAGTATCCTAGGCTCCCAGTCTTGGAGTCATCTTTGACTATTCCCTCTTCTTCACCCTACTTAATCAATTACCAAATATTAGCAGTTCTACTTCTACTACATCGCCCACATCTATCCCTTCTTCTGACTCCAACTAAAACCACCCTAATCCAGACCCATATTTCCTTTGCCCTTATTGTCCTGGGTCTACCACTATGTAACTAACACTAGACAAGTCTTTTAATGTTCCCATACCTCATTTTTCTCATCTATAAAATGGAAACAGTAATAATTGCACTATCTGCCTCTGAGAGCCACTAGAAATTTTACTTTAAAACACTGTATGTGTGTTATTATTGTTGCTTTTTTAACTTCCTAAATGGCCTTCCTGCCTCAATCCATCAATCAATCCTTCTTCTATACCACTTCCCAAGTATTCTTCTCAATGCACTGCTATGTTCTTGTATGCCCTGTCCTCAAAAATCTTCAGTGGGACCTAAAAGCAAAATGAGTTCCTATCAATGGGAGAAAATGAAAGCAAATTATGGCAAGTGAAGGTACCAGAAAATTATTGCAGTGTAAGAAACAACAGATATGAAAAATTCAGAAACACTTGGGAAACTTGTATGAACTGATACAGAGTGAAGTAAGCAGAACCAGGAAAACAATAGATTTAATAATCCCAATAAGATAAAGGAAAACAACTCTAAAATATTTCAGAGCTACCTTGGGAAGTCTAATGATGAAACAAACCTCCGTCTAGCCATCTGAAGGTAGTGGGAAGTGCTTAGAACTCACTGAGTAGGGGTGAGATTCAACAATATTTTGTTACTTGCTAAATAAAGTCCAAATTTCCTAGACCAGCCTTCAGTAATCAAATCAACACTACCAGTGTTGATACATCAAGGATATAGCAATCGATTGGCCTATGACCCTACTCACTATTCTTGTGACTTACCAGACCAAAAATCCCCTCCCTGGCCACCACTCTCATATATGTATTATCTTAGCTATGTATATATAAATATATATATATATGTATATATATATGTATATACACACACACATATATATATATACACATACATACACACATATGTATGTATATGTTATATATATATATATAAAATATGGATAAAATACATGCAAAAAAGGCAGCTAGGTAGCTAATGGATAAAGTGCTGGGCTTGGAGGCAGAAAGTTTTTGTTCAGTTGTTTCATTCATGTCTGATTCTTCGTGACCTCATCTAGTGTTTTCTTGGCAAAGATACTGGAGTGGTTTGCCATTTCCTTCTCTAGCTCATTTTATAGTTGCAGAAATTGAGGCAAAGAGGGTTAAGTAACTTGCCCAGGGTCACATAGCTAGGAAGTCTCTGAGGCTGTATTTGAACTCAGGAAGATGAATATTCCTGACTGCAGGCCTGGGACTCTATCTCCTGCACCATCTAGCTGCCCTGAAGTCAGGAGGACCTGTGTTTAAATCCAGTCTGTGACCCTGGACAAATCACTTAATCTCTTCTCAACTGTAAAGTGGGAATAATAACAACACCTACCTCATAGGGTTGTTGCAAAGATCAAGTGAGATATCTCTAAAGCACTTAGTGTAGTGCCTGGAACATAGTAAGCAATACATAAATGCATATTCCCTTATCCCTTCTCCTCATCTTCTATTAGAATGTTATGAAGAATCTAACCTATTAGAATGTAAGCTCCTTGAGAACAAGTACTATCTTGTTTTATTCATTGTGTTCCCAACATTTAACTGTTTCTGACATGTTGAAAAAAGCATTTATTAGAAGCTTAATTCATTCATCCAAGGTCTTCCAGTCTCTGGTGCCATACTTACCTCATACTGCTCTCCTCTATGTGCTAGTCCCCAGCCATACTAGACTAGTAGTCTAGATTCCCAGGATATGTTCCAGGCTTGACTCTGCTTTTGTTCATTCCCTCCCCTACACCTAGAATGACATTGCCCCTCCCCCCATCTCTGTCTTTTGAAATCCTCCTTATATTATTACCTTAATTGCTTATACAAAAGTTAGAGATACTTTCTAGTCCACACTTGTGGAAACCTTACATAAACTGTAAACTATATTTGCAGATTTCCTGGAATCAACTGAGTGAGGACAAAAAACCCAAGAAAGACAATGATCTTCTTGGGTTAGTATCTAGGATCAGATGTATTCAGTAAGAGTCCAGAGCCTTGGGAACTCTGAGCTAAGAGTTACAGACAAAGTAAAGAGTGCCATTATTTATTAGGTAAATGCTTCCTTTAGTTTTGTCTTTGTCCTGATTGATCATTCTTACTGATTCAAAGGGATTAGAACTAGACCTGTCATTTCATTGGCTTCCTCATGAATGAGAAAACTCCTCTACCAATGTAGGGCACTGTCTTCTCTGTAATTAACATAAGGCAAACATCAACTCAGGTCTTCATGTCTTTGAGGCTGGATCTTTATAGCAGCACAGAACACATTTTGGAATTGTATTCAGGAAGAAGTGGCCCAAATCAAACCTCTGACACTTAAATGCTATAGGCCAGGGGATAATGAATTAAATCTCTCTTTCCAAACAGGGTTAAGTGACTTGCCCAGGGTCACACAGCTAGTAAGTATGTGAAGCCAGATTTGAACTCAGAATCTCTTGATTCCAGGGCCAGTGCTCTATCCGCTGCACCACCTAGCTGCCTCTAATTAATTAAATTCTCAAACCTTAAGCAACTCTCTGAGACTAAAAGGTCTCATCACAGTTGTCATCTATAGTGAGTCAGTTGATAAGCATTTATAAAACTCCTACAATGTGCTAGGTACTGTTAAGTGCTAGGGTTACAAAGAAAGTAAAAATCACAACCAAAAAACCTAAAACAAAGTCCCTGCCCTCAAAGAGCTCACATTCTAATGGAGGAGACAACATGCGAACATATATTTGCACACAAGATACAGAAAGTATAAATGGAAGGTGTTAGGAGTTGCCACACTAAGTATCTAGAAATAAATAATTCATCTCATTTTAAATGAGTTATCAGACTTCTATTTTAGTATATTTTAGTGTTGTTTACCCATGCCTGGATGTTGTCAGATCATAAGGCAGAGATGAAAACATCTCACACCTGTTAGAAAACTTGAGGGGTAAAGGAAAACACTTGCCTAGATCTTGTGAGATCTCACTAGGGACCACTTCAACATCTTAAAACGTTAGTGATAAGCTTATGTCACAGACTTCTAAACTCACCTCATCCTCAATAATTTGTATTAGTTTCACCTACCAGGTCTTTTTCAAAATTGATATTGATGAATAAACTCTAGTAAGCTTGGTAATGGAATGAAAATTCAGTCAATAGCTAAAATTTACATATTCTTTAAAGTTTGGAAAATGCTTTACATATGTTAACTCATTTCATGCTAACAACAGCCCTTTGAGGGAAGTGATGTTATTATCCTTATTTAACAGATAGGAACACTCAGGCTAAGAGAGATTAGAGGAATTGCCCAAGGTCACACAACTTATGAATGTATGAGGTAAGATTCAAACTCAGGTCTTCCTCATTCACAGTCTCAGTGCTGGCCTCTATCCATCCTATCCACCCGACATTAGGGACACGAAAGGCAGTGACTGATTTGGTAATGGCAGCTGAAGAGCAAAGCCTTTTTTTTTTAGAAAGAATTAGTCTTCCCTTGATTATTTGTGAGTTGAGCATCTGCCTCCCTATACACTCAGGAATCCAGTGCTTCCCACCACCTCCATAACAGCCATTTGAGCTCATGCTTGTTGAACTGAATTAATGGATGCAAGAGTTGGGCTAAGTCTAGAAGTGTTCATAGCAGAATGTGTGGACACTTAAGTGGGATGATCAATACCATCATCAGCCATCGCATCAATGTCATCCATGTCTTTGCTCTTCTTCATTCAATTTTCTTAAGACATTGTTCACTTAGTAATGTATTGAATGTCTACTGTTACCTTTGAGCTCTTTATCACTTTCTTTATTCATTTTTGGTGCCATGTGTCCTATCTGCTTGGTCTTCATCTTGGCCAACTCACTTCTGAAAGCCTACAAGAAGCAATAAGTAAAAGAGATTGTCAATCAATGAAATAGCTATTATTAAATGAACCCGTATGGTTCTTATACAGATAACATTGAAGATTTAGAGCTGGAAGGGACCTTAGAGCCCATCCATTCATTTTTCAAATGAGGAACTGAAGCCCAGATATAATTAAGTGATTTCTGTGAAAAAGCATTAAAACACATAGTAATAAATGGACCTTTCCTTAGTATGGTAATATTTATCTAAAAGCAAGAGCTAGTTCTATACGTAATAGGGATAAACAGGAAGCCTATCTAATAAGGTCAGAGATACCTATGCTCACTACTGCTATTTGATATTATCCTAGAAATGCTAGCTATCATAATAAGAACAGAAATTGGGGGAATAAGCAAGGTCAAAAAGGGAACTAAATTATTACTTTTTGCAGACTATATGATGATTTACTTGGAAAACTCTAGAGAATCATCTAAAATTATTTGAAATAATAACTTCAGCAAAGTTGCAGGACATAAGATGAATCCATATAAATCTTCTGTATATTAACAGCACATAGAGAAATTCCATTTAAAAATATGTTTAAAATGTACAAAATACTTGCAGTACAAATACCAACACACAAAAGATCTACATAAATGCAACTACAAAGCACTCTTTGTGAAAATGAAAATAGACCTAAATAATGGAGTAATATTAATTGTTTGTGGTTAGGCCAAAGTAATAAAATAAAAAATGACAATACTACCTAAATTAATTTACTTATTCAGTGCCATGCCAATCAAGCTACCGAAGGATTACTTTATAGAGCTAGAAAAAGAAACAATTCCTCTAGAGGAAGAAAAATCTATAATCTCTAGGGAAATCATGAAAAAAATGTAGGAACAAAGAGGACAGAGCAGTACCAGATTTCAAATTTCATCAGAAGAATTCGGTACATGTATAAAAATAATTGTAGCGGTTCTTTTATATTTGCAAAGAAGTAGAAATTACCAGAGTGCCTATCAATTGGGGAATGGTTAACTAATAATGGTATATTAATATAATGTAATACTATTGTGACATAAGAAATGATGAAAGGGATGGGTTCAGAAAACCTTGGGAAAACCTGTATGAATTGATACAGAGTGGAAAGAGCAGAACCAGGAGCAATATTTATACAATAAGTACAATATTGTAAAGACAAGCAAGTTTGAAAAACTTAAGATCTTTGACCAATGCAATGACCATGCATGATTTCAGAGCACTGATCTATGTCTCTCCCGACAGAGAGGCAATGGCTTCATGATGCAGAATGAGAGGTATGTTTTGGAAATAACTAATATGTTTTGCTTGACTAAGCATATTTGTTACAAGGTTTTTGTCTTTCTGTTTTTCTTTGAAATTGGGGTGTAAGGTAAATGAAAGATAAAATAAATGCCTATAAATTGAAAAGTAAAATAGAATTTTTAGAAAGGAAATTGAAAAAAATATAGGATTAGAGCTCAGTCCAGCAAAGAGGATAGGAGATACAAATTTAGCAGTTATTGATACAGAAGCCAGGATTGAAACCTGGAGAATGAATGAGTTCTCTGATGGAATCAGTGTAGAGAGAGAAGAGCAAAAGGTAAAAAAAAAAAATCAAGATGAAAGAATATCCACAGTTAAGGAGTGGGAAGGAAAAGAACAGGTAGTAATAAGGACAGAGAAGGAAGACCAGTTGTGTTAACCACAGTCTATGAGAATTGGAATGGATGTAAAAGATCATCTTCTCCAGTACTACCATTTTGCAGAGAGATTAACCCGGTCAAGACCACATAGCTAATCAGTAATTAGCACAGGACTAGAGCGAATTTCTTCTGAATCTAAATCTGGTAGGTTTTGCACAAAAACACAATGTCTGCCTGTGACACATTCTAACCATGAAATGCTGGGCAAGTCATTTAACTTCTCAATGCTCTAAGCAGTGCTCTAGTCTAAAACAATAAGTTGCAGAAAAGCTACCAACCTGAATTAGTAGGAGGGATTTCTTAAACAAGGAATTTCTTATAATCAAGGAAATTGATCCAATTGGATCCACAGATCAAATCCCTACCCCTCCTAGAGGAAGGCAACACAAGCAAATGGCAAATTGTGCAATGCTGCCCAAGCGGAATCAATTATATATCTTGCCTTGGATAGTTCGCTGTCATTTGGAAAGATCACAAAATTCACAAGGAGTTTTTTTTTTGGGTAGTCCTTGGAAAATTGTAAAACTTCTTCCAACATAATATGAACTGCTGCTTCTTTTTGTATGCCAATGCTCCCAGTTCCAAGAGCAGGGAAAGAAAGTGAATTTATATTTTTCTGATGGGATTTTTCCAAGCATTTCTTCACTGCAGCTTTCAGTGTCTGTGAGGAAATAGAAATTTATTTTTTTATTATAATCTTAAAAACACTTCAAAAATATTATTTTTCTAATTATCAAATTGACAAATCATTTTGACAAATACAAACACTTTCTTATAGAAAGAATAGGACAAGAAGGCTGTATATGAGACAGTGGATTGTTACTCCTTTACCTCTTGGATATATATTAAGTAGATGTAAAGTATCTATTAAATGTAACTTGGTAGTTCTAACACAATTCTGCTCATTTGTATCCCTATTTGAATTTTCCTCTGTTATCTTCAGTGAATTTTTTAAAAAACGTTTCATTGATACTTTCCTAATAATACATTCATTTACCTTTACAACAAGTTTTTAATATATCCCCTTCTTTTTTCTAACAATAGTCTGCTGGTGGGTCTGCCTGCCTCAAGTCTCCTTCCACTCCAATCCATCCTCCATTAAGCCACTAAAATGATTTTCCCCAAGTGCAGATCTGACCATGTCACCTCCTACTCAATGAACTTCAGTGGTTCCAATTACCTCCAGGAACAAAAATAAAATCCTCTGTTCAGCATTCAAGGGTCCTTCATAACCTATCCCCCTCCCCTTTTCCAGTCTTCTTACACCTTACTCCCCACTCAATGTGCTCTTTGAACAACTGGTCTCACAGTTCCATGAATAAGGTGTGCCATCTCTCAGCTCTGGGCATTTTCTCTGTCTATCCCCCATGCCTGGAATACTCTCCCTCCTCATTTCCACCTACTGGCTTCCCTTGCTTCCTTTAAATCCCACTTTCTACTGGAAGCCTTCTCCAACCCCTCTTAATTCTAGTGCTGTCTCTCCTATTTATGTCCTATTTATCTTTTCCATAGCTTGTTTGTACATATATTGTCACCCCTATTAGATTTGGAGCTCCATGAGGGTAAGGACTGTCTTTTGCCTCTTTTTGTATCCTGAGGGCTTAGTATGGTATCTAGTGTATAGTAGACACTTAATAAATATTGACTGACTGAATGAGTATATTTTCTCCTTTTGCTTTTTTTGAACTTGACCTGTAATTTTCCTGTTAGAGGGAACAATCCTCTTCCTACCAGTACAAATCATAATCACCTGCTCTGCAATTTAGAGTCTTGGGGAGTTGCCTGGGGCACTGAAAGATAAAATAACCTGGTCAGAGTCACTGAGTCGTATCCAAGCCTTTCAGATTTTGGGGACAGTTCTCTATCCACTCCATCAAACTACCTCTCTTGACTTTCTAATAATTAAATTTTATATGCTTTCTGGTCTGACATTGGAACTTTATTAACAATGAGTACTTTAGTTAGTCATTGTACTGTACCCATGAGCTCAGGCTTCCCCTCATCTATAGCTATTAGTAATAAATAACATTCCAAGAATTTCTCCTTATCCAAAGATTTTCTAAACTCATGAGATAGTTCAGTTCATCTACATAACCAAAGAGAAGTACTCATTAAGAAAATACTAGCTATGCAGCCCTCCACCACCAAGGGCCCAGGTAGGTTGGGATTACTAACATAGAAGACTAAGGATGAGAAAGGTCCCATCACCTAATCCACTCTCTATTATTGCACAAACCAAGAGGCAAAACTCACAGCCTCTGTGCCTGTTAAAGACTGTGACTAGTGGCCACTTAGCCACATACCTACATATGATATATTAAAGGTAAAGCAGTTAGGATTACAATCAAGAATAACCTACTCAGTAAAACTGACTATAATCCTTCACCAGAGAATAGAAATTTTAACATCTAAATACAAGACTCAAGAGAAGCATCAAAAGGTAAACATGAAAGAGAAATTATAAGGGGCTCAATAAGGTTAAACTGTTTACATTCCTATATGGGAAGAAGATACATGTAACTCTCAAGAACTTTGTCATTATTTGGGCAGTCAGAACGACTCTACATAGAGAGAGGGTACAGGAGTGAGCCAATTATGTAAGCATAATCTGAAAAAATGGATGGGTAAGAAAAAGGGATGTGCTGGGATTAAGGGGAAGGGAAAAGAAGAATGGGGAAAATTATGTGCAATAAAAGAAGCATGCAAGTAACAGCTTTTACATGGGAGAGGGAAACAATGGGAAGGCTTGAACCTCACTCTCATTGGAATTGATTTAAAGAGGGAAGAATACACACACACACACACACACACACAGAGTTGGGTATAGAAATCTATCTTACTCAACTGGGAAGCAGGAGGGGAAGGGGAGAAGAGAAGGGAGGGGGTAATAAAAGAGAAAGCAGAATAAGGTAGGTAATGCTCACAAAACAAACATTTGAGTAGAAACAAGGTAAAAAAAAAGAGAGAGAAGGATAAACAGAAGAAAATAAGATGGAAGAAAATACACAGTTAGTAATCATAACTGCGAATGTGAATGGGAAGAACTCATCCATAAAATGGAAGAAGATAGCAGAATGGATTAGGAACCAGTATTCAACAATATGTTGTTTATAAGAAACATACTTGAAACAGAGAGACACACACATAGTTAAAATAAGGGGCTGGAGTACACTTCTTGTGCTTCAGCTGAAGTTAAAAAAAGAAGGCATAGGTAGCAATCGTGATCTCAGACAAAGAAAAAGTAGACCTAATTAAAAGAAATAAGCAGAGAAACCACATTTTACTTAAAGGAGACATAGATAATGAAGTAATATCACTCCTTCACATATATGCACTGAAAGATATAGCATCCAAATTGTTTTTAAAAAAAGTTAAATGAGTTATAGAAGGAAATAGACAATAAAACTATTCTGGTGGGGAGCCTCAATGTTTCCCTTTCAGAACTAAATACATCTAGTCATAAAATAAATAATAAGCTAAGGAGAGGAATAGAATTTTTGAAAAGTTAGATGTACCTCTGGAGAAAATTGAATGAGATTAGAAAGGAGTACACCTTTCTCTCAGCTGAACATAGTATCTTCATAAAAATTGACCATGTATTAAGACACAAAACTCAAAAACAAATGCAGAGAAGCAGAAATATTAAATGCACACTTTTCAGATCATAATACAATAAAAATTAAATTTAATAAAGAAAAGGCCATGGAATCATAGATTAAAAATTAATTTTAAACTAAGTAGCATAATCCTAAAGAGTGAGTCAAAGAAAAAATCATAGAAAAAAATCAATAATTTCATTAAAAATAATAATAACAATGAGACAACATGCCAAAATTTTTGGATTGCAGCCAAAGCAGTACTCAGTACTTAGGGGGAATTTTATATCTCTAAATGCATACACCAACAAAAGAGAGAAAGAATAGATCAATGAATTGGGCATGTAACCTAAAAAAAAAAAACCTAGAAAAATAACAGACTTAAAAGTCCCAATTGAACACCAAAATGGAAATCCTGAAAATCTAAGGAAAGATTAATAAAATTTAAAGTAAAAAAAAAACCATTGAACTAATAAATAAAATTAAGATATGGTTTTATGGGGGGAAAACAATAAAATTCATAAACCATTGGTTAATTTGGTTTAAAAAGAAAGAAGAAAACCAAATTATCAGTATCAAAAATTAAAAGAATGAATGCACCACCAATGAAGATGTAATTAAAGCAACTATTAGGAGTTATTTTTGCTCAATTATATGCCAGTGAAACTGACAATTTAAGTGAAATGGAGGAATATTTGCAAAAATATAAATTATACAGATTAACACAAAAGAAAATAGAATATTTAAATAACCCTATCTAAGAAAAAGGAATTGATCAAATTATAAATGAGCTCACTAAGAAAAAAAAACCCATGACCAGATAGATTTACAAGTGAATTCTACCAAACATTTAAGGAATGATTAATCCTAATACTATATAAACTATTTGGGGAAAAATAGGTAAAGGAGTCCTATGAGATTCCTTTCATGACTCAAATATGATTTTGATACTTAAACCAGGAAGGGCAAAAACAGAAAAAGAAAATTATAGGCCAATTTCTTTAATGAATACTGATGCAAAAAAATGAATAAAATACTAGCAAGACTACAGTAATATATCATAAAGATCATGCATTCTGACCAGAGGGGATTTATACCAGGAATGTAAGGATGGTTTATTATTAGGAAAGCCATCAGCATAATTGACCATATCAATAATAAAGCCAACAAAAATAATATGATTATCTCAATAGTTGCAGAAAAAGTTTTTGACAAAATATAACACCCATTCCTATTAAAAACACTAGAAAGCATAGGAATAAATGGAGCCTTTCTTAAATGATAAGAAGTATCTATTTAAAACCAAGAGCAAGCATTTTCTGTAATGGAGATAAGCTAGAAACCTTGCCAATCAGATCAGGAGTGAAGCAAGGATTCCATTTTTGTCACTATTACTCAATATTGTATTAGAAACGCTGACAACAGTGATATGAAAAAAAAATTGAAGAAATAAAAATAGGCAACAAGGAAACAAAGTTATCACTCTTTGCAGATGATATGATGGTATACTTAAAGAATCCTAGAGAATCAACTAAAAAAATCTAGTTAACACAATTAACAATGTTAACATAGTTACAGGATATAAAATAAACTCTCATAAATCACCAGCATGTCTATATATTGTCAACAAAACCCAGTAAGAAAGAGATAGAGAAATTCCATTTAAAATAACTGCAGACATTATAAAATACTTGGGAGTCCACCTGCTAAGACAATTCTGGGAAATATATGAACACAATTACAAAATATTTTTCACACGAATAAAGACAGATCTACACAATTGGAGAAATATTCATTGCTCATGGGTAAGATGAGTCAATATAATAAAGATGATAATTCTACCTAAATTAGTTTATTTATTCAGTGCCATATCAATCAAACTAGCAAATTATTTTGTAGAGCTGGAAAAAATAACAAAATTCATCTGGAAAAACAAAAGGTCAAGAATATCAAGAGAATCAATGATTAAAAAACATGAAGGAATATAGCCTGGAAATACCAGATTTCAAACTATATTATAAAGTAGTAATCAACAAAACAATCTGGTACTGGTTAAGAAATAGTGGTGGATCAGTGGAATAGGTTGGGTACACAAAACATGGTAGTAAATGACCAAAGTAACCTGGTATTTGATAAGCCTAATGATCTAATCTTTGGGGCAAGAACTCACCATTTCACAAAAATTTCTGGGAAAACTGGAGAGCAGTTTGGCAGAAACTAGGCATAGACCAACAACTCATTTCATATACCATCATAAGTTGGGTACATGATTTAGATACAGAGTAATATCACAAGCAAATTAGAGGAGCATGGAAAATTTTACCTGTCAGACCTATGGATAAGGGAAGAGTTTATGACCAAACAAGAGCCAGACAGGATCATGAGAAATATAATGCATTATTTTAATTACATGAAATTAAAAAGTGTTTGCACAGACAAAACCAATGCAGTCAAAATTAGAAGGAGAGCAAGAAACAGTGGAAATTTTTTTATAGGAAGTTTCTCTGATAAAAGCCTCATTTCTCAAATACATAGGGAACTGATTTATAAAAATAAGAGCCATTCTTCAATTGATAAATGGTCAAAGGATATGAATAGACAGTTTTCAGAAGAAATCAAAGTTATCAGTAGTCACAAGACAAAATGCTCTGAATCATTATTGGATTAGAGAAATGAAAATTAAAACAACTCACACCTATCACAACTAACACCTCAGATTGGCTAACATAACAGAAAAGGAAAATGACAAATGCAGGAGTGATTGTGGAAAAATTGGGACACTAATGCATCATTGATGGAGTTACAAATCGGCCCAACCATTGTGGAGAATATTTTGGAACTATGACCAAAGGTCTATAAAACTGTGACTCAGCAGACATATAAACATATATGTATGTATGCATATATATGTATATGTGTGTATATCCTTTGAGCAATACCACTACTAGTAGATCTATATCCCAAAGTGATCAAAGAAAAATGAAAAGAACCCTTATATACAAATGCTTATAGTAGTTCTTTTTGTGATGGCAAAGAATTAGAAATTGAGGGGATGCCCATGAATTAGGGAATGACTGAACAAGTTGTAGTATGTGACTGTGATGCAATGCTATTATTCTATAAGAAATGACAACAGAGATGATTTCAGAAAAACCTGGGAAGATTTATATGATGTGATACAAAGTGAAGTGAGCAGAACCAGGAGAACATTATACACTTACAATCAATGTTGTAATGATGATCAACTATGAAAGATTTGGATACTCTGTTTAAGACAATTCCAAAGGACCTGAGATGACAAATACTATACATATTCTGATGAAATCTGATGAACTCTGAGTGCAGATTGAAGCATACTTTTTTACTTTGTTTCTTGCTTTCTAATTTTTTTGCAACATAGTTGATATGGAAATATGTTTTGCCTGATTTCACATGTATAACTGATATCATATTCCTTGCCTTCCCAATGGGTGGAGGAGGAGGTTGGAGGGCAGGAGAGAATTTTTGGAACTCAAAACTTTTTTTTAAAAACATTAATGTTATTGTTTGCTGATTTTAGAGGGAAAAGAGAGAGAGAAAATAGTGTACACCATGTCTGCAGCAATGTAAATGAAAAAAGTCACTAAAAGGAAGGTGAATACTGAGTAATTGAAAAACAAAACCTTCCTGTCCCTCATGGAAGAGAAGTGAGGACAACTAGAATAATATATGTGTGTGTGTGCATGTGTATATATATATATATATATATATATATATATATATATATATAAAATAGATAGATAGATACATAAAATCAGATAAAGTTCCTTTATCAGATATTGTGTCTTATTATTTTTCTTGGTTTCCACATCTATAAAATGGAGATAACAGTAGCACCTACTTCCCGGGGTTACTATGAGAATCAGGTGAGATTACATATAGAAAGATAGAAATAGAGATATACATACCTATGTATATATGTGCATACACATATATATCTATAGACATACATGTATAAGCATGTTGCAAACCTTAAAATGTGAATAAATACTAAGTATTATTTGTCAAAATTTAATTTGGAAGTTAGAAGTAAGAAATTAAGCTATAATGTAAAAGATACTAATAAGTTGTATTTTATAAATATTGAGATAGATATCTAAATATGGGAAAAATGAATAAATACCTAAGCTTCTGTGTATATATAAGTTTCAGCTCTGTGTCTGCCTATAAGACAAAATACATTCCTCAGGGGAGAGGGGGAGGGGAATATTTAAAGTCCTTAACAATCTCTCTCTTCAATCTATGTTTCTAAACTGATTTCACATTACTTGCTACTTATACACTCTCCAATCTAGTCCAAATGACCATTTCCGCCTTTGTTCAGGCTGCTCCTCATGCCTAGAATAATCTTTCTCCTCATAATCTGCCTGTTGGAATCCCTATTCCTGTTCATGTCTCAGTCTAAGTGACACTTTCTATACTAGGCCTTTCATGTTCCTTTCTACTTGTTAGTGTTCATGCCCATGTCTTACAAATGACTTTGAATATTTTCTTTGTACTTATCTATGTATGTGCACCTACTTCTTCCTACCTAATCCATCCACAGATGTAAGCTCCTTGAAAACAGGGGCTGTTTTCAAGACAAAAGTCTTTGTATCCAAGCTCCTAATACAGCTACATGGCACATAATAAGCACTTAATAAATTTACCTTCTTTGTATTATTGTAGGAAGGCCACACTATGTGGAACACATATTGACAGGCTAAATTGAATCCTGTTGTGATTATGACCAACTCTTGATTTTTAGATGTTTCCACCATTTTTTCAAAAAATTCTTTCTCAATTTCAGGGCCTGCTTGGTTAAGGATTGCTTTTGATATACATCCAGATTCAAAAGAATTTTGAGCTGATACAGAATTCACAATCACATCAACCTGAAAAGGAAAAAAAAAATAACTGAATACCAGATTTGACACTACACCATTACTACCCTATAAAGACTCACATTACCATCCCCCTGGTTACTGCCATTATCTCCCGCACAGCCTCCCAGACTCTAGTGTCTTGCCATCCCTCCAACCCATACCCCACAGCACTGAAATAATTATTTTCCTGACAGATCTGAGAATGTCATTTCTCTTCCGAAAACACCTATCCAACCTGATTCTATATCACAGTTTCTGATGTTTCATTTCCCCTACAAATTCATATGTTCCAATAGGACAAGAGCTATGTCCATACATCCATTAATTCTTAGCATCATATTTTGTACAAGGCTGATACTTAATAAACTGATGAATTTAATTCTTAAATTTTTTTGTTTAGACCTGTGATTTTATCATCCCAAGGACCTCCCAGTATGGAAACTCTGCAAAAACGTAGATTGGTAGTTTCTATGCAATGTATAATTGAGCTGTCTGGGATGCTGAGAAGGTAAAAGGACACACAATTAATAGATCTTCTTGAATCCCAGCTCTCTCCACTACGCCACACTGTCTGTGGAATTGCACAAATATAAAATATAATTTTTTTTTCTTAAATGTAAATCAGAACCTATATTTTCTTGAAAAGTTATAAAGAACATTATATATAGGTACTGGCAGATATTTGGACAGTAGTTTCTCAACTCAATTTTCATAAAATGGCAATTAAATTCATTTGGTTCAGAAATCATCCAAATGCAACTATCTGGGCTAAAAAGAAATGATAAAGAGAAATATTAGGATAACACTTGCTCTCAAATACATCAATCAGATCCTGCTGTAATGGAAAATATGCAAGCTATGGAGTTGAAAACTCAAGACCTGAAACCTTAGGCTTCCTGGGCCTTATTTGTGTTGCCCTGAGTAAGGCAATTTCTTCATCTGCAAAATGAAATGGCTGGATGCAGTAATCTCTAACATCTCATCCAGAATCATTATCTTTAGACGATGTCTCCTTTGAGCATATTACAAGTCCTATAATGCACAGGAGTAGTTTTGTCATTTCTTTTCCAATGCCTGCCTTTCCAAATGGTCCACCTTGATAGTCATACTCTAGACATGCAGTAAGAGAAACTGGAAGGTCCTATCCAGACACATTTTGTGTGCACAGGGAAATTTATCCTGTGTGCAGCTTAATTGTTCATAGTTATTGGCATGTTGTCTTCCCCCATTAGACTGTAAGCTCTTTGAGGGCAAGGATGTCTTTGATGAGAGCAAGGTGCTTGATGCATAATAGGAGCTTAATAAATGTTTAGCGTCTATTAGCTGACTAGGACCTAAGGATATTAAATATAATGCCCAAGAGAATTAGCTTTCATTTGTTATGACAGTTGGATTTAAGCCACCCTCTCTATTTCACATAGTACCCAGTTCAGGGTTATATGCTAATCAGACACTTTTTGTGTAAACAAAATACTATTTAAAAGTGATAATCCCCAATTTTGCTTCTCTACTCTAGCCAAACTGATTCCTCTCACACTATGTATTTATTCTTCCCTGCCCTCTATAAAGGCATTCTACACATGTGGGATGGCCTTCCTCTTCTCAATCCACATCCATCCCTTTGTTCAAGATTTAACTCTAAGGTCAATTTTTCGAGACTTTGATTAGCTATCCTCAACTTCATCTTTTCTTTATATGTCTTTAATATGCATATATTAGGTTGACACTCTTTTATTTTCTATTTCTTGGGCACTATTCTTTTGCCCTTTCACATAAATGTGCTTTGTTCCCCCCTACTGTAACTATCTTGTAAACTGTAAACATTTCTATGGAGGAACTGATTCTTTTATTTCCTTTGTATTTCTCCTAGTTTAGTAGGGGCTTTGCAAATAGGTGTTCAAAAATGCTTCTTAGCTAACAGCCACAAAGGAGGGTGTTAACCTGAGGATCCCCAGATTTACCTGCTGCTTCTCAATGAAGCCCTCTATAAGCTGGAGGTTCACGTTGTTGAGGGTAATGGAAGCTAAAGGTGGGGCTGCTGCTATGTTTCCACACAGAAAATTTTCACAGCTTCTTTTAAATGCAGCCACAGTGGGGTCCTCATTGCTCACCAGATGGATTTCTTTTAAGATGTTGCTTCTTTGAAAAGAAGGAAAGGTCACAATGGTATTCACAATGATGTTTACACACATATCCAGAGGGAAGCCAAAAATCCCAGAGCTTAATGCAGGGATTGCCACTGTCCTTATGACAGAAGATCCACTGACTACATAATTCAGAATGTTTATAATGGTTATTTGAAGTTGAGTGCAACATCTTTGTGCATCTTCTGCCTTCCACTCCGGTCCAACAGCATGGATAATCTTGGAACAGGGAAGTAGGCCTCCACTTGTTACAGCTATTTTAGTAGTTGGCACTTTTCCATATTGCTCAATTATTTTTTTACTGTCCTCTTCAATGATAGGCCCTCCTGCCCTCAAGAGGGCCAAGGCCAGGCCTCCACAATGCCGAAGGTGTTCATTGGCAGCATTAACCACAGCATCCACAGTATGTCTGGTGAGATCATCTTTCCAGACAGACAGCTCTATCTGGGAAGGCAATATTTTTCTGAAGACCTTGGTAGCATCCATAACACTCTCCAGCTTAGAGGTACATTGAAACTTCTTATTGATCACATCATTGAACAAAGATTCGCAGCTTTTCAAGATTTTTAAGTTATCACTGCCAACTTTAATTTGTAGACTCTTCTGTTTTATGAGGCCTATGGAATGGACAAAACAGGAAATGAACTGGCAAGCCAGTCTTTCAATGGAAATAAGGTAAAGTGAAGCATGAATCTTCTTTCAACCTAGAAACTGTGTTCTCTACTTGTAAAAAGGTGATGACCTCTTGTAACCACAACAAGGTCTTTCTCTTTATTCCTGCAAATGAAATGTTGAATTGACCCATTTTGGTAAGACCTAAGAGAAGCATAAAAAGGTAAACATGAAAGAGAAATCATAAAGGACTTAATAAGATTAAAATGCATATGTTCCCATATGGGAAGAAGATCCATGTAAGTCCTAAAAACTTTCTCATTATTAGGGCAGTTAGAAAGAGTCTACATAGACCAAGGAAGGAGGAAAAGAAGATGGAAATAGTGAACATAGAGCAATCAGAACATAGTACTTAAAAATATGACAAAAGTAAGAGATAGGATCATAAAACTAGAAGGAGCCTTGGCAGTCATCCAATCCAAATGCTTAATTTTACACATGATGAAACTGAGGCCCAGAAAGGTGAAATGATTTGCTTCAAAGACACACATCTAGTTAGTAGCAGACCAACCAGAGATCCAAACTCAAATATCCTGATTCTGTTTTAAATGCACATTCTACTACACCAAACTGCCTTGTCCAGAGAGGTCGAGTCATTTGTTAATTGGTGAATTAAATTATTTTGATTAAATTACAAGTGTTCTTCACTGAATTTTTTGTTGAATAGACAATCCAGTTTCATGACTGCTTATTACACATATTCTCTAATTCAGATATTTCATTTGGCAAATGAGGGAATTCCTCTGAGGAATTTCATCTCTTGATTAGCTAGAACCAAAACAGGAATTCCCTCAGCTTGCTATGAATATTGTTTCAATAAAGACCTTCTTCAAGCATGGTATGAACTGTGTCAACCAGAAGGTAAAGCATAACCTAATTGAAAGGACCTATTAGGTGTTGCTTACTGGGGCAGCTAGGTGGTACAGTGAATAGAGTGCCAGGCCTGCAGTCAGGAAGACTACTCTTCCTGAGTTCAAGTCTGGCTTCAGACATTTACTGACTGTATGACCCTGGGCAAGTCACTTCACCCTGTTTGCTTCAGTTTCCTCATCTGTAAAATGAGCTGGAGAGGAAAACGGCAAACCTTCCAGAACTCTTGCAAAGAAAACACCAAACGGAGTCACAAAGAGTCAGACATGACTGAAACAGACTGAACAACTGAACAATAACAAATCAGGTGTTGCCATGGTCTCTAAGAAGAGTATGCAATGTTAGTTGTCTTATAGTTCAGTGAAGTCACATAGCCAGAAGTCACTAGCCTATGCATATCCACCCTAGCCTTGAGACCCTGCCAATCCAAAGCTGCTTGCCCTTTCAGAAACAGTCAATCTGTAATCAAGTGCCTAAAATGGTTGCTGCCAAGGAATTCCAGCTAAAAAACACTCCAAGAGACCACGAGCTTTAAAGTGAAAGGGTCCCCCTGAGAACACCAATTGAGCAGTATCCTTGTTACACTGCTATAACTCACAAGTGACACAGAAGGGGTCAAGGGAATTTAAGTTGTTACAGGGGTGACAATATTTTTTTTTGCACTAGAATCACTTTTTAATTCTGATCAAAACATCTGATCAATGTTTCTGGGATTTTAAAGCTAGTCCACTTGTTATTCACTATATAAGAAAATTTTAAAAGGGTTAATGACGTGAATAACCTGTTGTCTTGGGAAAGTGGGAATGAAAAAATCTAGGTTCTAGTCTCCACTGGTGGAACAGAACTTAAAACTCTCCATCTTGGTGAGTCATAGAGAACGAGAATGAGAATGTTTTGTTACCTACAAAACCATTCAACCTTCTATAAAATTTGCTGATTAGATCAGTATCTCTTTTAATTAATTCTTTTGCGTATGTTACAAATCCAAATCCCCAAAATGGAACCATGGTGATTCATCTTGCCTGCTGTCTTGCCACTGGACCCCTAGGAATCTAGAGGAGAAAGTGAGGCCAACTTTGCACAGCTCTGCCTCACCTAAATCCAGTTCACTTGCAAATCAAGACATCATCCTCATGAAGTCATTGGTCTTCTTCGAGAATGAAGGATGAACAACAAAACAATCATCAAAATAATAAAAAGAGAAGCTTTCTTAAGCTGTCTAAAAACTTCGATCCCAGATGTGACTGACAGGTGTCTTATTACCCTACAGCAATTCTCACAGCGCATCCAAGGTAATAGTTTATGTAAATTTAGACATGCTATGCTAGAAGGGGCCATCTTCTAAATCTCCCAGCATTGAGAAGACTTGTATGAACTGAAGACAAATGTAGTGAGCATTTTGTCAGGTGCACACTTTGGACAATAAGAACATTGTAAAGACAAACAATCCTGAAAGACTCAGAAACTCTGACAAAGACTTAAAAGCACTTGAGAACTTTTGGACAGAGTAGTGGTGGACTTAGAGTGGAAAATGAGACATGGTCAGTGTAAAATCTTTTTTTCTTTGATTATGCATATTGGTTACAAAGGGTCTTTCCTCCACCAACCATGGGCTTGGGAGGAATAGGTGTGAGGGAGAAAATATCAATTTTTGTCAACTGAAAAAAAATTATTTGAGAAAAATTCCCCCAAATCTTTAAATGTAAATATTTTCATTCATGACCAAGATCAAAGGCTACCATTTCCATTTGGTTATCTAGTTGTAAAAATGAACAGAAACAAAGCAATCATCACCAATCAGCATCTGCTTTATGGGTGAATTACAATGTGTTGGGGGTTTTTTTCCTTAATTTTTAAATCTTATTACTGTGAGGATAACAAATTGCTCGGATCTTATATGCAGATGTTGGCTCTGTTCTTTTATTTGATTGTTCTGATTTCTGAACTTCTTCTACAGTGTGACAGCCTTGGGGCAACTTGGTAGTAGAGTAGATAAAGTGCTGACCTTTGAGTCAGGAAGATCCAAGTTCAAATCCAACCTCAGATACTAGCTGTGTGACCCTGGATAAGTCACTGAACCTTAAATGCTCCTCAGTTTCCTTTATCTATAAGATGGTGATAATAGCACCTACATCACAGACTTGTGAGGATTAAATGAGAAAATACATGTAAAGTATTTTCCAAACCTTAAAATACTTATATAAATGCTAGCTATTATCTCTTTCTGGTTCCAGATTTAAGAAGGTCTACTTGGACCTGCTCACAAGGTGCTGTAAAAAAAGGGCTAGATTTGGAGTTAGAGAACCTCTGTTCAAATGCCTGCTCTTCCACTTATTTCACTTATATATGAGCTTTGATAGATTTGTTAATTTCTCTAGACCTCAGTTTTCATCTGGAAAACTGATCTTGACTGCCCTTTATACCTCAAAATCTTTGATCAGGCCCTGGTCAAAAGACAGATTTCCTAAGGGGGATTAGAGGGTAAATGATCAAAGACCACGGGTGGATGTGTGCAGAAAATTCTCAGAGCTGGCCACTGGATAAGGAGGTAACAGCATCAGGGCAAAAATCAACAAGAATTTATTAAGTGCTTAAAATGGCCTGGATGGAGATCTACCACAAAAGTCCAAGTAGAGTAATATGGACATGCTGAGTTTGGAATAACAGTAAGACATTCTGTGAAAATGTTCAAGCCAGTTGAAAATGTGACAGGACCTTATGTGAGAGGTCAGGATTAATGAGGTAGATTTGGGATTCACCCATCTAGAGAAAGATGTGAGTATGTCACAAGTTCCTATGGGGAGAGAATATAATGAAAAATGATTGTGAGATTAAAATGGAAGAAGTCAATTAAAATCAATTAAAAGTAATTATAGTGAATGCCTTTAACAGAAGTGTACCTGTAAGCATTTTATAAGAAGATGGTTATTGGCTTTAGAGATCAGCTATGCTATTTCTCCTAGGTGTGACTTTACTGATAGTACCTTGGTAATGATAGTCACTAACCTTCACTCACAGCAGATGTCCTTACGGCACCAGCGTCACTGGAGGAAGAAGCAGCAGCAAACATTCTCTCAACTTTGGCAGATCTCAGATTTCCTAAGGTGGTTGTCTATGTTATTGTCTTAATTTAAAAAAAAAACAAGGAATCAATAAAATTATTTTTGAAATCTTGAACAAGTAAGTACAGACTTCAAATGGATTCAATACTAGGATTTAAAAAGAAAACAACATTAACAATGTTGTTTTGATCGTTAATTTTATTAAGATAATCACCAGTAGCTGAAGGAGAAAAGGACAAAGAGACAATGAAACATTGATGTGATGAAGCCTGCATTGGAAAATTAGGTTTGGCTGAATTTTCAAATACATTCATTCTAATTTGGGATTTTTTCTGATTAACACCTAAAAACACACAGATAGTCTGGGAGAATGGGCAGAGAAGCTACATAAATAGATATAAAATATATAAAAAATTTTTATACCTAAAAAATGGGGGGAAAAGAGAAGAGGAAATTGAGGAATAGTTGGTGTTAGATGTCACACGTGGCACACAGTGAAAAGCAGACTAGATTTGGAGTCAGAGGACCTGACTTCAAATCCTGGTTTTGTCACCATCACACTGGGTAACCTTCCTCCAACATCATTTTTAAAGTAGAGGCTTTGACTAGATGGTCTCTCGTGTCCCTTCCAGCTTTAGATCTCTGATTTTAGTAACATCGGTTGTTCAGTAATTTTTCAGTCAAGTCCACCTCTTCATGACCCCATTTAGTGCTTTCTAGGAAGATACTAGAGTGGTTTGCCATTTCCTTCTCCAGCTCATTTTACAGATTGGGAATCTAAAGCAGGTGGGGTTAAGTGACTTGCCCAGGGTCACACAGGTAGTAAGCATCTGAGGGTGGTGCTCAAATCCACTGAGCCATCTAGCTTCCCTTTTATCATCTGTGCCAACTCAATTCACTTTGGCTTTCATTGAGTGGCCAATAATAGCCCCTAGTCCAAGCCTAATGGGCTCATTGTTTAGATTTTGATGACCTAGAATGAGTGCAAATAGCCATTGTTTTCTGTCTTGTCCAGAAACTCTGAGAGTCTTCTCCCAGATAGATTTTTTTTTTATGTTTAATTAGGCCATCTTTTGTCTCAATTCTCACCTAGTCTAGAGTTATTGAATAGGCATTGCCTCAGACAAACTCAAACCTGGGAAAGACCTTCATTTAGAAAGGCCAAGGTAACCCACTGCATCCCATGTCGTTGCCAGGCATCCAGATATTTATCTTGCCACTAGACTAGATGACTCTGGAGGAGAGAGTGAGGCTGACTTTTCCCAGCCCTGCCTCACTTAAATCCAATTCACTCACAAGTCAAGATATCCCCCTCCTGATATGATTGGTTCTCTTTGAGAACAACAACAACAAGAAGAGGGGGCAGTGAGTGGATTAATGAATGGTCCATAGTTTTCTTCTCTGCCAAAGTGGTCTGAAAACTGGAAAACTTCAGAACTGTGGCCCTATCCAACTCTGCTAACTCATACACACACACACACACACACACACACACGATACAAATACTTCTCTAACAAATTGAAATTTGTCCTGAGTCAGTCCAGTGATGCCATGATTTCCAGTCTCACATGTCTTTAGCTATGTGTGAACCAGTCAGTTGGGAGAGGCAGCAAATACGTGGATCTCATTTCCTGGTCCTTGGCATCTCCTGTCCCCTGCTGGTAAGCACATAGCCACATAGCCACATATACTTTCATCCTGATGGGGTGCTGGAATGCATGTACTGGTGAAGAGGTTTACCTACAATTCCCAGAAAAACCTTAAAACTTTTAGACTCACTTATCTGTCTTTGACATCTTTCCTCCCCAGCCCCTAAAAAGAACCTGGCTTCAGTTTTGTTTACCCGTCCCAGGAAACCCTTAAAGTTTTAGAAATTGTCTTATTTCCCTTTAAAAGCCCTTTGAAAGCAAACTTCCCATCCAGCTCCCTTCATTATCTATTCTCATTGTCTGTTCAAATCACTCAGACATTCCAAATGGAAATTCTCACCTGGACCCTTTTTCCACAGGGCTCACCTCCCCCCTTCAACTGGGCTTTCCCATTGTTCCACCTTTCTGTGGCCTTTGGCCATTTCTTACCCTTAATCCTAGCCTAGGCACCACAAGGTCCGGGACCCAGGAGTTCCATTCCCCCCCAGCTTGCTGGCCACTCCCATCCAGATCTCCTTGGACCCCTCCTCCCGTCACCCCAAACTGCTTGGCCCCTCCTAAGATCCCTCCCCCCCCCCCCCAATCTCCCTGTACTTAAGATTCATCCTTTCTCCTGTTCTGATGCTGAGCTGTTCTCAAGCCCAGAAGCTGAGACCCCTTATGCCCGCCCGTCCTCACGGGCATCACGTAGCCTATCCACTCCAGCCCCACTCAGAAGCTGAGCTTTCTAGACTGCCTCATGCTGCTCATCATTATGAGCATCACCTGACCACCTTAACCCCCATTTAGATCACTGATGTTTGGGTTCCTTTGGAGTCTGGCCTATATGCTTATCTTTAATAAACTTTTTCTCTGGCTGGAAGATCTGAGTTGAATTCATTCAGGCAGATCTGCGCCGCGATCTGGGCTTTTTCCCGCGATCTTGGGGTGCCTCTGTGCATCTAGAAGCACCCCAAAAAACCCCACCCTCTTCACTGGGATCCCAATTCCAAGACCGTATTTCTCCCTAGCCTCAGAAACACTATCCTTGGCAGTACCCCCATTCTCTACCCCCGCCCCTGCCCAGTCCAAGGACACTATGCCTGGCAGTTACTCCTGAGTGGGCCTCAGCAACACACTTATCTCTCCCCATGGTGCAGTTACAAACTGCACCTGAAGGAATTATTACTTTGAACTGGCTTTGCACTGGGTTATAAAGATATTCATACCCACTGGACTATCTATACTACCTCCCTACCTCATTATCTATAGCCTGGACATACATTATATGTATTCTAGACCTAAGACATATGTGTACTCCCAACATCTATCTTGTCAAACAAGACATTGATTGGTGGCAGACTGGGCAACTCTCAGTTGGCCCTGACCACTAGTTAACTTAGTGACATAGCAGACCTAAAAACCACATTTCCCTGTAGCCCCGCCTCCCGTGCCTTGGGCTTTTCCTGGTGAACTCTGGGTACAATGCCTGTGCAGTAGATACAAAAAGTGTGTGTTCCTTTAAGAACTGACCACTCTTTAACCACTCCCTAATCCCACCCTGAATTACCTAGTTAGCATATTTGGCACATGTTTTCCTATAGTTTATCCTATATAAACTTTAACCGGGTCCCTCTAAGGTCACAGGTTCCTTAATGTGAGAAGGCATTAGAAGTTAGGTTTTCACAGCAGAGCAAGGGAATTCTGAGAAGAACTTCCAAGATCTTGTGGATAGTCCCTCAACCAATCAGAAAGTGCCCCAGACATTCTGCAAAACAACTAGTTCCTTAAGAAAGAGCCTTGGAGACTAAAGAGGTTGCAACTTGTCTGGGTCAAGGATGGGGCAAAGCCGTTTCTCCACTGCACTTGCTTAATAAGTTTATTGAATATTAACTCACACACCCTAAGGACAAAGATAGTCGCCATTTTTGAACATGGGACACATGAACTGAGAATGGTTAACATGACAAAAAGGAACATGGGTGGTTCAGGAAGAGTGTAATTCAGATGAGCTGGACCAATCCTAGCTCTGATGGGAAGAGCAGGATCATACTAACACTATAAAATATGGCTCTCGCTTCTGAATGGTGTGCCTTTCCCACCAGGGGGTGTACCCAATTCTTGCAAGAACTGTAATAAACAATTCTTCTTTCACTCAGGGCTTAGTTTCATTATTAGGAGTGAGACTCTACTTAGCATTGCAACTGGGAAAGCAATGGGCTGCAGCAGCTTGCCGGGGCTAACTTCCCAGCACTGCTGAGGGGGTCCAAGGGTGTCTATTTCTAATATTAAGTATCTTTGCCTGGGGCAGCTAGGTGGCACAATAGATAGAGCACTGGCCCTGAAGTCAGGAGGACCTGAGTTCAAATCTGGCCTCAGACCAAACACTTTACACTTACTAGCTGTGTGAACCTGTGCAAGTCACTTAACCCCAATTGCCTAAAAAAAATAAAAATAAAAAAGAATCCTTGCCCACTGAAAAGCATAAAAATAAACTTTTGCCAACTTGACTTAAAGATTGCTTGAGTCTGTGAATTCATTCTAGATGACCCTGTCTTTTACTCCAGTCTTTGAGGGGTCTCTCAAACTCTCAGACCACAACAGTCCCATCCCCTTGTCTCTCATCTCCTTTCCCTAAGAGGCAGCAATGAGGGAGGAGTTGAAATGCAATGGCCCAGCCCTATTTGGAAACATATACTTATCAGAATTATCTTGCTCTTATTATGAAAAATTGTCTATAAAATGAGTAGGTGGTTATCCTATGTAAACTTTTACTGTACCCCTCGAAGGTCACAGGTTCCTTAAGAATCCTTGCCCCTATATAGTGTAACAATAAATCTTTGCCAACTTGACTTAAAAATTCTTGAGTGTGAATTCATTCCAGATGACACTAAGTATTATCATCTTGATTGTATGGATAAGGGAAAAAAAAAAACTAGGAGCAGACCAGTGATGAAATAATTTGTTCTTGTAATGTACCCCAGTTTTTGAGGGGTTTCAACTTCTTAGATGGCAGCAGTTGGAGGAAGAAATATGATGTTCCAAACCTTCCTTTTGATGTTTCAAACTTTCCACAGCACCACTCTTCTATTCTCTCAGCTGAAGACTTCTTCCTTTTCTCAGATCTGACACCCCTCTGACATTCTTCCTTACTATCTTCTCTTTCACTTCAGTCTCTGATGAGATAGCCCTTCTCCTGGTCAAGGTCAAACCATCTTCATGCACCCTTAAACCCATCCACTCCCATCTTCTCCAGGTTGTGACACCACCATGATCTCTACTTTCTCTAATCTTCCATTTCCCTCATCTATTAATTCTTTCCCTGCTGCCTACAAACATGTTCATATTCATGTTCAAAAACCCTCATTAGGTTGTACCATCCCACTAGCTGTCTCTCCTTCCCTTCTCTGCTCAATTCCTTGAGGCTGTAGATACTAGAAAGATTTCCCTTCTTCTCTTGCTACTCTCTTGTAATGAAAATACGGCTTCTTGCTTCATCATTTAACTGAAATTGCTTTCTCCAAAGTTACCAATGAGCTCTTCCTTAACAAATCTAATGACATTTTAAAAATCTTCAACCTTCTTGACTTCTACAATATTTGACACTATTAATCACTTTTTTCTACTAGGTATTTTCTCCTCTCTGGAATTTTTATCACACTGCCATCTCTTAATTCTTCTCCTAACTGCCTGACCCCTCCTTTCTCTCCCTAATTAGATCTTCATTCTTGTCATGCCCACTAGATATATGTCCCTCAAAGCTCTATCTTAAATTCTCTACTTTTTTTCTCTATATTATATCACCGGGTAGTATCCTTAGCTGCCTTGGATCCAATTATCATCCATATGCAGATGATTCCCAAATTTTATATATACAGCCTTAGTTTCTCTCTAGGACTACAATTCCACAGCACCAACTTCCTTTTGTATATCTTAGCCTAAATGTCCCAAAGGCATTTCAAATTTAATATGTCCAAACAAAACTCATCTGTTTGATAAATTTATATTTGCACATACATAAAACAGGACACATCTTATAAAGATATGCATGTATGTATCCTACTGCCTGTTAATATACAGTTGATTTTCTTTTTTGTTAGGAGATGTATATGTATGTTTGTGAGGAGTTTCTATATTATAGTAATTTTATTTATATAAATATATTTATACAATATTTATATTATAATATATTATATATTAGTATATGAGTAATACCTTTGATAAGACTACATAGTGTGAAGATTCAAATTTAAAACTGGAAAATTTTAGAAAACTTTTCCCCAAGCCTTTTTTTTGTTTAAGATACCCTTGTCTCTCACCAACTGAATTTGAGGAAAACATTAGAAATACTAAATCATGATTTTTAAAAAAGAATTGTGTCAACCTGAACAAATTACTTCATCACTGGTCTGCTCTGAGTTTTTTTTTCCTCATCCATACAATCAGGATGATAATACTTCATGAAAATATAACTAAATATAAAAAGTATAACTACCCCAAGTGGGGTGGTTAAGTATCAAATGAAATAATGTATTTTAAAATGATACTTTGTCAGCATAATATTGAAAGGTAGATTGGTATAGGGGATCAAGGGACAGCTTGGAGTCAAGAAGACCTGAATTAAAGTCTTCCCTCAATCTCTTAGTAGAGGTATGCCAAGGCCAAGAAACCTTGGTGCTTCAGGGACCTATCTAAATTACATTCACTTATTTACATAAGGAGAATAATTTTCCCACACTAATGAAATCATAGGACCAGATGGAAAGAAAATAAAAACCTTTGAAGCATTGTTTAAGTTATTACCATATATTGACTGGTGTATGGCTTTTATTGTCCTCATCCCTTCCTCCCCCCTCCCCAAGATATTTATCCAATAGAATAGGTAGAGTTTTAGGTGAAAGTATGAAATGTTCATTTCTATATACAGAAGACAAGTGGTGCAACACGACTCAATTCAAGAGCAAGTTTGTTGTTGTTGAGTCTGTCCAACTCCTCCAAAATCCCTTTAAGTTTTTTTTGGCGGGTGTTGTTTTTTTGGGGGGTGGGGGGCAAAGGTACTGCAGTGGTTTGCCATTTCCTTCTCCAGCTCATTTTACAGATGAGGAAACTGAGGCAAACAGGGTTAAGTGACTTGCCCAGGGTCACAGCCTTCATAACTCCAGGCTTGGCACTCTATCCACTGCGCCATCTAGCTGTCCCTTAAAAGCAAGGATAGTTTAGTCTCCTGGAGGAACTGACATTTTGGCAAGAAAAGAAAGAATTTGCTCTGAGCTTCTTTTTGCTATTTTTTTTTCTTAAACTGAGACTCCATGGATATATTCTTCTCCTCAAACAGATCTCCAAGGAACAGGAGTAAACAGTATCAGAAGTAGACGCTCATATGTTCCTAGACCTTATTGCTATTAAACCTAGGAAACTTGCTCAAAGGCTCAGGATAGGGAGTGGCATGGATAAGTGGAGGTGAGGCGAACTGTGCTGACTCTGAAATCCAGTCACTTACCTTTGAAAATCCTGGCTTAGCTCCTTGGTCCCAGAGGCAGCTAGGTGGTACAAGTGGAGAGAGTACTGGCTCTGGTGTCAGGAAGACCTGAATTTCCATCCAACCTCAGACACTACCTGTGTGAGACTTAACCTTTGTTTCCTTCAGTATCCTCTTCTGCAAAATGGGATAATAACAGCACCTACCTCCAATGAGATATTTGTTAAGCACTTAGCACAGTGCATGGCACATGGTAAGCTCTATAGAAATGTTTATTCCTTTCCCGGTGGGACCTTCTGTGGGTCATAACTTCTCTGAGTCTCATTTCCCTCCTTCTTAATATTAGGACGTTGAACTAGCTAATCTCTAAGGTCCTTTCTAAGTCTAAATCTATGATCCTATGAAGCTAAAACTTTGGGGCTGAAAGGTGCTCCTGGCTTGTCTTGTAAAGCTCTGTCTGAATTCCGAACGAGAGTCTGCCAATAGATACGGGCTCTTTTTAAAAAAGAGGAGACAGGAGTTGGTGCTTTTCATGGCTTCAAATTTTCTGGAATTTTGACAGCTTTATATGTGAATCCCCTTCCCCCAAACAAGACCCTGAAAGCAGAGCTGACCCCATTTTCCAAGAGCTCTCATCAGCCTAAAGGAAGTGAGCAGCAGTCCTGGTTCGAGAGATGTGTTGATCCGGGAAGGGGGCCGAGGGTGGGGGGGGGGGACCTGGAGAAGGTGCTTCTTGCGAGGTCCAGGATAGTCTTTCTTCCCTCCCGCCAGAGGACCCCAACACAGCCTTTGCTTACCTGAAGTAGCGTTGCCTACAACAACCAGAGAAATGGATTGTGAAGGTGAAGGATAAGAAAGGAGTTTTGGGGAAACGAAACTGAAAGTTTGCAAGGCATCAGAGGCGGAGCGAGGGGCGGGGGGTAAGGAGAGACAAGTAGAGCTAAGGAGCAAGGAGGGAGTGCTTATTGAACCCTTGCTTCTGCCCTCTCTGCTCTCCAGTTACACCCTCCAGAGTCCAGCGAACAAACATTGCGGCCCCAGCTCCTCGGCTCACGAGTCCTGACCCTGCCTCTAGGGCCACTGACGGCTCTGCCCACAGACCGCCTTACCTGGTCCTGGTCCAGGTATCCAAGAGCTGTTTTGGACTGGAGAGTAAACTGCAAAAGTATTTCCCGAGCCAGAAGAAGTCCGGGGTAGGCGAGTACACGGCCAAAGCCGTCCCTACCGAAGGAACTTTCTGGGTAGAGTTTTTGGAAAGAGAAGGTGAGCAGAAAGGGCCTGGGGGAGCCGCTGGACAGAGACCAGCGTGGGAGGAAAGGCGGCGGCGGGGAGACAGGGTGAACTGGGAGAGGGCACCAAAGTGGAGAACCCATCCCGAGCCAGGAGAAGGGGCACTGGGAAACAGGGCTTGGGTTAATAAGAATAATAGCTTGCATTTATATAAAACCTACTATGTGCCAGGCACTGCGCTAAGCTCTTTACAAATATTATCTCATTTAATCCTCGAAATAACTCTGGGAGGTAGATGCTATTGTTATCCCTATTTTACAGTTGGGGAAACTGAGGCAGAGGCTAAGTGTCTTTCTCTTGGTCACATAACTAGTAAATGTCTGAGGCCGTATTGGAACCCAGCTCTTCCAGACTCTGACCCCGGCACCACCTAGCTGCCCCTATTGATGAAATAAATTTCTGTTCCCTTAGAGACTTTCTTTCATCTTCATTCAGGAACTCAGGTTTGCCAAGGAAGAAGATAAAGGATCCATCCTCTTTGTACTATGTCAATATACATTCATCATAGTTGTGTGGTTTCATTTCCTCCGGGTCTTTTTTTTTGGCTAGGCAATGGGGTTAAGTGACTTGCCCAGGGTCACACAGCTAGTGAGTGTTATGTGTCTGAGGCCGGATTTGAACTTAGGTCCTCCTGACTCCAAGGCCAGAGCTTTATTCACTGCACTACCTAACTGCTTCCATGATTTTGCTTTCTTTAAAAAAACTTATCCACACCTTCACAGGCCAATAATGTTCTACAACATTTCTTAGCTTTATATTTGCCTTCATTGTCTGCTTTGACTTCTTCTGCATTCTGACACTGTGTTGCTCAGAATCTTAATGTAGAGGTAATTAAAGGTTTATCTGTTTTCTTCTTTTCTACCTTATTATTATTCAAATCTGGAGCTTCACTGAACCTGAACCCCAGATAATGGCCTATATGGGAGATAAGGGGTGGTAAATCAATCCTGAGAAAACCCAAGGTCCAGCCCACTCCAGCCCAGTCAAGGTTTGGAGAGTACAGTGGATAGTGAGAACCCAGATAATTCAGACATAATCTTGGTCCCTCTTTCCCTGCCCCCACCCCCAGAGAAACAGCTCAGGTCCCCCTCAATTGGCAGTTCTCTTTTCCACTGGAGTGATTCAGCCACCTTCTTCCTAGAAAGATTTGTTGGATGAAGGATGGTAAATAAGTGGACCATAACATTTTCATAGTCTAGCAGTTCCCAAGGGGAAAGAACTCAGCTTTTGCCATTTTAATTATTCATGATTTCTCCTCCCCTGCCACTCCCATTGAGGTGGAGATTTCTGTTATCCCTCTTGTCTCAATTTCACATATACACAAACTTCTGTTTGGCTTGTGAATTCTTTGTGCTTGCTTAAGGTTCCACATGCATGTTCATTTCTCTTGTAATAAACCTAGTTTTTCCACATAAATTTCATAAAGTTGTGATTGCCTGTTGACAATTTCCAGGTGAAAGTCAACAGTTCTTGGGTAGTCTCAGTCACAATTAGAGAGAAAATAGAATTGGTGAGGTTATAAATTACGTTCCACTCACCCTGGGCCCAGGCTATCTGGTCAAGGACAATTATGAGGCCAGAAAAGGCTGCAGCAATGGAGATGATGACTTTGTCCAGTTCCCTGAAGGCCACTGTAAGCCACCAGGTGCCACCTGCCTTTCTCACAGGCCATTCAAGGTTGTTGTAAGGGCAGTTAGGATAGTGAAATATTTCAGCCTCTTTCATCTCCATCTGTAGAGGAAACACTTTTCGTTTACCTTAGGCTCTGATATTGTTTTACTACAAGGGCTGCTTGAAGAAAGGCTAAGGGTTTCCCTTTGACCTTACCCACAATGACTTGCAAAGAGGTTGTCGAAGGGGCCTACATAGGTATCAACTCCCAAGAGCTCATAATGCCCCTTCTTTCCATAGTCTGCCCTCTATAACCACCACCACCCCCATGGAAAACTAGCTTACCCCCTTAAAGGCTCATTAAAAGTTCCCAGGTATGATGGTAGCCTAGCTGCCAGTGTCCAGCAACCTGATATATCTCAATGGGGCATGGGCTTGAAGAGATGCTTTAGACTTGGGTGAGACTAATGGTACCCTACTACTCATATCTCATAATACAATTTTATTAACACCTCATCCCCATAGGTTGATATTTCAAGAGCCACATACAAAGCTCTCTCTAGAAGAAGATAGCACCACTCTTGCTGCCTACCTAGCAGGGTAGTGGGCACTGCATGCCTCCTTTAGCCATCCTCAGGGTGCCTATTCCTACTGACGATAATATTTGTTCTAATATCCTGCTCAAATTTCACCAGCACATCTGCCTACACCTATATGGTTGCGTTACAGGGGTAATCCATAGCTAAAGGCTAATGCCATTCAGGAAGGGCTCCTATTTGTTCTCTGTGCAGGTTGGTCACAGGCTATGGGAGGTCATGGTAAGGGAAGGCATATGCTTATTATGTACTTCCTTTGGGGATTTTACTACTTTCCTTGTAGATCCCCACAGGGGACTTCAGTGGGAATTGATTTTTACGAGGCCAAATACAGAAAAAGTGCCTGTCCTAGCCACTTAAAAAAGGATAAAGAGCCATTGCCATTTGGATCATCTATTTAGTTGGCTCCAAGAGTCAGTCTTCTGAAAGCTTGCCAGGCTGATAGAACTCTATTTCAGAGAGGGTCTCCCCAGAGACTCACTGGATGATGCCCTTAGCAGTCATTGCCCTAGTGAATCTTCAGGCTGCTGTTTAAATTTCTCTTGAACCATCCCTAGTTCCTTCCTTGCTGGTGAAAGCTCTCCCATCTTCTGCTCTGTGGGACAGTAATAGGATTAGTCCCAGTCTTTCTGACCACCAGTTCACAAGTCTCATTCTCACTTCTGTCCTTAACCTCTTGTCCTCTAACCCCAATCTTAGAAAAAAGCAGCATGCTTTTAAGTGAAACTCTACATCAGAGACTGTAGTTGCCACCCTCAGTCAGTGGGTTCCTGCCTGAAGTCTTTTGGTCCCTGCCTCCATAAGTATTTCCCCTTTATAACACGGGACTGTTAGTAACTCCAGCTATAAACTCTGCATTCACTGAACTGCTCTTGAAGAACAAGAGTTCTCTCTCTAGTCACTGAGAGTTCTGGGCCAGTTTACTTGAATCTTTCTTATGCTGACAATTTAGATGTTCCACGATGGTTAACAGTATCCATGGAAAAATAGTCCTGGTCCTTTCTTTCTCTGTCAGCCTTCTGTCATACTACTCACTAATCAAATCACTCCTACAATGAAGACCTTCTCTCTGTTCTACTGAGAGGACTGACCATGCACTGCAAGAAGGGTCCTTGCCACAGTGTGCCAGATTACAGTCCCTGGCCATCAGATCGTCCTATCTGAATATGCATTATCCTTCCACTTTAACCCTGATGTCAGGTCCAATGACATTGTGTTTCAGCCATGAGCTGGGCTTGATTCAGAGCTAATCCTCTGGTAGTTTAGTACTGATACTGGAATGAAATAAAATACACATATATCATTCAACAGTTAACAGAAGGAGGTTTATATAGCCATGTCATAATAAGGATACTTCGCAGGGATATAGCACTTATCGCTGGTAGACCGAATCCCCTCCTTTCCTAATCATTCAGAAAGGGTCACTGTAGGGCAGCAGTGACATTTGGTCTTGGGATATCAGTCTGATCTGAAGGGCCCTGATCTATGTGGACAAGTCTTTTTATGCCCTGAGGTAACCAGGACCTAAGATATCACCAACATTGGCCTGAGGCAACCAGGAAGCTGCCACCACAGCACAGCTAGGTGACTTGAGTCTTAGTCCCTTTGAGCCAATCAAATCTTGGGCATAGTTTCCTTTCTTTTTTGTAAAAGAAGTAGCATAGCCTTGGACCAATCAAATCTTGAGCATAATTTCCTTTGTGGAAAAGAACTATCTTAACCTTACAGGGTAGGGGGAGTGAGAACTTTGTAGATACTGGTCCTATCACAAAAACCAATGAAAAGAATGCTACCAGAAAGATGCACTCTGAATAAGGTACAGAAGAATACATAATAAATCATTCCTTCCTCCTGAAGGATTGAATGATTTTCAGATCAATGATTTGCTTAATGGTTTATGTTTGTTATATTGGCTATTTCAATTCTGGATGTGTGAGTCTGTGTATAACATCTGGAATTGACTGTAATGTATGAACCAAAGGAATCAAAACTACTTCCTGAAAGGGAGGGGGGAGGAGAGGGAAAGGGAGAGGGCGAGGGGGAGAGATGGAGAGAGAGAAGGTCACTTGTCTTCTTAGGCACCAGTCCTTGATGCTGTGTCTGCTATACTACAGGGTCCTCTAACAGTTCAAAGCAATCATAAATGCTAAATCTAACCTTCACATACTAGCCCTTTAAGTTTCCGGAAGAGCTGTCCTATGACTTTTGATTCTCACAACAAAAGTCAGAAGAAATAAAAAGAATAACCAGGACTGATTATCCATGGTAATACATTAACAAAACTAAGAACACAGAAGAAATTGAAGAATATCTTAAGAGATATAAAATATTCAAACTAACACAAGATCAAATAGAGATCTGACACTAAAAGTGAGTTGAGTGCTATTATTATTCCCATTTTACAGATGAGAAAACTGAGAGTGAAAGGTTAAGTCTTTTGCTGGGGATTATATAGTAAGGATCTGAGGAAGGATTTAAACTCAGGTCTTTCTGACTCCCAAATCCAGCAACCTATCTGCCTTACCATCTCTTTGATTCCAGTAGTATTTGACAAATATTTATTAGAGTGTTAGGGTATTTATTAGTATTAACGTACCAACAACAAGCAGTAATAGGCAGTGACAAGTCTCCTTCACATTATTCCATCTGGCACAGGTTTAACCATTTCAAAATCCCACCCAGGTGCTCTCTGTTGGGTTTTTTTTTTTCTTTGTAGTCAACAGGCCTCTCTTGGAGCCCCCATTAATCCTTGGGATCTAGAGCCTT